AGAAGATCTAGCTTTGACCGTCGTAGTCTTGAATATGCTTTACTTAAGTGGTCTATTTTTATAATCATTACTGTTATATTAATAATAATAATTATACAATTTTTGTATGGAACTATGTAATATTTATGTAATTCTATATAAAAAAAGAACATATGGTTGGCTATAAAACTGTAATTGTTTCCGAGGACAATCATGTGTTCTGTTTACATAAAACCATAAATATTATTATGCTAATATTATAGAGTAATAACTATAAAAATGAAGTTGCTAATAATTATTATTTTACTATGGCAGTTAATATTGTCACGAGTACTAAAAAACTTTTCTCTTAATGCTTGTGGTATTTTTGTAGCGCATTTATGGTTACGTACCTACTTCTTGCATTAATTATATGCTACAGAGCAATCACAACACGTAATTTTTATAATCTTCTGGGTTTTCCTGATTTGTCAATTTGTCAAAATTCTAAATTGATGAAATCTCAACAAAATTCATGCACGAAAATCGACACTAAATCAGCTTTATATGGTTTTTTTGTAACGTAATTACTCGCGTAGAATATTTCTAATGTTGTATTTCTATGTTATATTTCAATTTTCATTATTTTCTTTGATAATTCACACTTAAATAAAGATTGATATAACATTCCGTACATTCTTTAGATAAAAATAAATGTAATAAATCTTTTTTAATTTTTGTGAAACAATTTACATAAATGTACTCTCTAAATCTTTTTAGACTGAATTGTCACTCCGAAGGATGAAATTTTATTCTTATAGATTGAAAATTGAGCCACTCTTTTGATTGGCTCAATTTTCAATTTATAAAATGAGATTTCACTTCATAAACTTTAGAGAGTAATAAAGTGTATAAATAGCATTTACATATATATTCAGCGAATTTATAAGATACTACCCTGAACCCACCCCAAGCAACGAAGGGTTAAAGTCGAGTCTCTCGACGAAGCTGCAAATTGCGTCCGAAATCCGAGTGCTTCGCGTATCTCACGTATTTACTCGTGCCGTTGATTTATTGGAGTACAACGGCACGATTCAACGAGATTTCTCATTGTTACATGTATCGACGAGCAACATTCGGAATTCGTGACGAATATCGAATAGCTCTGCTGTGGCCTCCGCCTTACATCCGCGCATAAAATTCACGTGCGTGCCTACGTTCTCGTATACATAGATCGTGTTTTAATTCTGACTTTGTTCTCCCCCCCCTCCCTTTCTCTCTTCTTTTCGGTCACTCGTCCTCCAAAAGAACAAGAAGAAGATACGGTCATGAAGAAACAAGACGTCGCCGTCGCGGTCGTAAAAATAAATTTCTTTCCTCCTCCTCCTCCTCCTCTTACCCCTCCTACACAATGTTCTCTCCGCTCGTTCTCTCTCTCTCTCTCTCTCTCTCTCTCTCTCTCTCTCTCTCTCTCTCTCTCTCTCTCGTCATAATGCACGCGTCTTTGATTGTACAAGTGGCGTATGTACGCGCGGGGTATTCGCGGGAGACAGAGAAAGCAAGAGAGAAAACGGGATCGTGTCTGAAAATATGATCGCGTCGTATATCCTCGCGCGAAAATAAAGTCAAAGGTTCGTCAGCCGTAATAAAACGAAGAGGGGAAAAAAAGAAAAGAGGAGAGGGAGGAAGGAGCGGAGAGACGGAACGATTGAAGAAAGGAGGCGCGGGCGGCTGTAGGCGATAAAACAACGAGGAGCGGCTTGTCCGGTTGAGCGCGAAAATCTGCGGGGTATCGTCAGGAATTCTTCTGCTCCGATAGTATTCCACGATCGCGCGGCGTTACGCAATTTCGTCGCTTTGTCCTCGCTGAATTTCGCGGCCTCATGGATAAAGAGAAGCGCTGCACTTGCTTCATCCAGCGATCGATCGCGTCTCGCACGACGTGCCTCGATTCTAAAACGAGCGAGCGAGAGAGAGAGAGAGAGAGAGAGAGAGAGAGAGAGAGAGAGAGAGAGAGAGAGAGAGGAAGAATAAATGAAGTGCGATATTATATAAAGGAATGTTTGTTTAGCCGTAATTGATCACAATGTTGCGTTAGAGGAACAAAGGTTTTAGCTTTTATAAATTTCTCGTTTGGAAAGTATGCGAGTACCTCAGGCATGGCACAGCGGAGAATTTTGAAACGCGAGACGTACCTCAGGCTCGGCGCAGCGTGCCTAAGGTACGTCTCGCGTTTCAAAATTCTCTCCGGCGTAGTTCGTGCCGGACGCGTGCAATGAATTCACGGAATCGCCACGAATGTTTGTCGCAATTTGCAGTGTTCGGCCTCGCGCTGTGCTCGCAATTCGACACCGCCAGCCGTGCGGCGCCGATTCTGGTGGAGCGATGTACCCGCGCCCTCGAGGAGCTGGCGTTCGCCGACACGACGTTGGACCTCTACAAAGTTTACCACAGCAGCCCACCTAATGAGCAGATCCCCGAACTGCGACAGAAGCTGAACGAAGGTAAGACGGGCGCGCCGTGGCCGGCCGGCAGGTCGGATCGCGCGATTACGCGCGCTATAAATAGCCGGCAGTCGTGCCACGATGTTCGGCTCGCGGGTTGCAAAAATGTCGAGGCGCGCCACCAGATGCATGCTGCATTGTGGAGGACCCTCCCCCCTCCCCTCCATTCTGAGGGAGGGCGCCAGAAAAGCATGCTTATATTTTGCGCGACAGATCGAGATTTCAGGGACAACGAATGAGCGAGCTGCTTTCGCGCTTTGAGAGACAAAGATCCGGCTGCATTTAGCGATAAGCCCTAACATTTATACATATATAGCCTCGAAATTTCTTTTAATTTTGTTTCTCGCGACGTTGCACGGCGTATGAATCAGTTGTTTTCGGAATAATGTTAAGAAAACTTCTACATTTCATGAGAAAGACAGAGACTGCTGCTGTCTGTACTATATTGTGTATTATATTGTGCAGATTTAACTGCTGCAACATGTCAGTTGTCTGCCTAACATCGGGAAATTGCGTTCAACGAACTGAGAGTTTATCTACTAAAATATATATATTTGCTTACGATTATCATTTTAATTCATTTAAATATATTTCTTTCACGATCTTTCTAAAAAGATCAAACTGTAAAATTTAATAGGAGGAACAAAATTGGAATGCATAAATAGATAGTAATTTAAGTAGATTGCAGATAATATTTGAGATGAAGCTTCTAACTAGAGATGTTCTTTTCGAAATTTTTTGTGCACAGTAATTGATTATTAATGTATTATTGACTAATAGTTGGCAAATAGAATATATACTTAATATAATCAAATTTTTTTTTTGTTATTTTCGTTTTACAATCCTTAAAAAATCATTTTTTTATTGTAATGACTTTGTTCAAATTTTTGAAACTTATCTTTTTTTTTAGTTATGTTGATTTGATATTTTTTTATGAAGTTGAGTTTAGTTTACGTTTGATAATAATTAATAGAGTAATATTTATTTAACTCATTCATGGTAATAATTAAAAAGATTACATTTTTTTGAATTGTATTAGTTGAAATAAACGCGATATAATCGTATGAATGTAATTATTTATATTGATATAATTATATTATGTCTTTTAAGCAGTTACTGATATGATTAGTATTTATTTTTTATGATGAGCTGAACATAGAACAACATAACATAATTTTTTCAGATGTCTGTAACGCGGATTTAAGCCCGTATACTCCCCAATGTATCGCCAGTGTCTTGAAAAAGTTTTTACGTGAATTGCCAGACCCAGTAATCCCGGTGCAATGGTATGACAGATTTCTGGATGCGTCGAGTAAGTATATATTTCTTAATCAAATACTTTTTTTTAAACCGGTTATCAAATGTTTTATCAATGGTTATAATTCGTCGTTCGATTCCGAAAATTGTACCAATTTGTTTTTGTCTCACAGATATGAGAAGCGATGAGCAGTGCGCGACGCGTCTCAATCAATTAGTAGCGGAGCTACCGGAGCATCATCGTAGCACATTGTGCCATTTGATGGCACATTTCTGTCGCATCTGCCAGTTGCAGCACGGAAGGGGCTACACGGAACCACCGACCATCCTCGTACAAGTTCTCTGTCATATATTTCTCAGGCCACCCTGGGAGCGAATCATGTGAGTGCCACGTGGATTCTTTTAGTCATAAGGAAAGAGTTGAGAATAGAGCGTGGTTCACACGATCCCTTTTTTACTGACGACGTACTACTGGCTGTAAAAAAAAACATCGGTATTTTCGAGGACGCTAGTAATAGATTGCTTTTCATCTCGACTAGTGGGCTTTCTAGTTTGCTAGCATTGAGTTATTTAATTTTCTCTCGCAAAAGCACCTTGTAGATTTCAGGATATAATTACATAATGATATAATACTGTCATATTTGCGATAAAAAAATTAACTGGTTTTACGACTATATTACTACTAATAGATAAGATTACTTGTCTGATAGAACACTCGTAATATGTCTTTGATTACGAAGAATTTAGCACTTTGCACTGCGCAATTTTACAGCCAAGTTGTTCACAACACGGAGGCACACATACGCATAATGGAATTGCTACTATTACACGGCGATTGGAGCGAGAGGCTACCGGAGTTTGCCAGTCCCCCGCAATTGCCGCCACGTAAAGTTTCGAGACCACAGTTTCCGATTTTGGATCCGTTCCCGGTTCTTGAAGACGAAGCTGTAGACAAAACGGCACCTGGTGCGGATACTGGCAAGGACCAACAACCGCATAGGTCATCTTCAAATTCGATTCTGATTTTAATCCAAATCTTAATCTAAGTTAGAAGTTTCTAGTTCTAAATCCACATTGAACTTGAACTTTAATCTTTCTATCAATTTAATTTTAATTCTATACTTAGTTTTAGTTCTGTTTTTCTTCTGTAATTAACTTCTAAGATTTATAGTAATTATTTATAATTATGGTACAAATAACTAATTGTAAATATCGTCGAAAAAATTCTAGGCCACGCACGCTACAGGAAGCTGAATGGTATTGGGGTGAAATCACGAGGGACGATGTAAACGAGATGATGATCGACTCGCCGGATGGCACTTTTCTGGTACGCAATGCGTCTTCCAAGGGTGGCGAGTACACTCTAACGCTGCGTAAAGGCGGGACCAACAAACTCATCAAGATCAGTCATCGAAATGGAAAATATGGATTTTCGGATCCCTATAACTTCCACTCGGTCATTGAGCTGGTCGACTACTATAGGAACTGCTCGCTCGCACAGTATAATTCGGTGCTGGATATTAAGTTGCTTTATCCAGTGTCGCGATTTCAACAGGTACCTTCCTAACTTTCTGGTTCACGAAATAATTGTATTTATGTTCATCCTTGAACTTCCCATTTTGTGTTTGTCTGAAAAATAGGATGACGAGATCGCAAATACGACCGACATGGCAAAAGTCAGGCAGAAATATTTCGAGTTAGATAAAGATATAAATGATACAATCCGGCAGTATCAACATTGTTCGGATTTGTACGGCAAAACGGCCTACGAAGTTCAGTTGAAGCGTAATGCATTGGAAGCCTTCACAGAGGCCATCAAGATGTTTGAGGAACAGATAAAGTTGCAAGAAAGGTGCAAGATAGAAGCCCAACCTCATGAGATTTCTACGTGAGTAGTCTACTCTGTTGTTAATGTTCTCTAAAGATACTTACATTTTTAAATTTTTATGAAATTTTAGAAGTGAAATTTTCTATAGTGTTCTATTGTGATTGCATTGATGATAATATTTCCGAAAGCTTATATAGCAAATAATATAAAGTAGGGATTATTAATTATAATCAATTAATCTTGTTATTATATATTTTTTTAATAACAGTTTGACAGACAATTCAGAATTGTTGAAGCGAAGACTGAAGGCCTTAGAAGATAGCAAAGAACAACTGGATGAGAGTCTGAAACAACAGATCGCCTACTATAGAACCCTTGAGAGAGAAATGTACAAGCTGAAGTCAGAGATTGGAGTACTTGTGCGGCAAAAGGATCGCCATTCTCAGTACGTATTCTTTTATTATATTTCGGTTTGCTGTCAAAAATTTCCTTTTATTTTTACATTGAAAATCTAATCCAATTCATTCGAACATTGCAGATGGTTAAAGAAGAATGAGATAAAACAGAACAAAGAGGAGGTGGACTTTGCAGTTCATTCCGATGAGAAAACGTGGCTGTTTTTGAAAGGTTCTCGTTCTGATGCTGATCTTATTCTAAAGGGCCGGCCCGATGGTACCTTCCTTGTTCGTCGATCGAGAACTGGCCAGTACGCACTTTCTATAGTGTAAGTATCATCTATATTTTATACAAGTATGACATGTAATTTAAATCAAGAATAAATGAAAATAGATAATTATAGATAACGCGCGAGATTATAATATAGCTAATAGTAATGGATATCCTAATGGTATGAACCGTTTAAAACGAAAGTTAATCCTCTCAAGGCTTTTCTCGAGAATTTGAATAATCCAGTTTTAAAGATCGTATTTCATTGACCGGAATGATTTCGCGGTTTGTGCCATGTGTTATTCGAGAATCGTGATGTTACAGGTGTAGCGATACGGTACAGCATTGCATAATATACGCCACCGAGCGCGGTTACGGCTTCGCCGAGCCATACAACATTCACGAGACCTTGAAACACCTAGTGCTGCACTATGCTCAGAATTCTTTGGAGGAACATAACGAGTGCCTGACCACCACTCTGGCCTATCCCGCGTTTGCGCCGCCTGCAGCGCTAGCGCAACTACAGGCCCAGCAAAAGCAGTTGCAGATCCATATTCAGAATCAATCATCGTTCGCGCGACCGCCGCATGAGAATCAGCTCGTCATGCCGCATACATAATATTGGCCTGTCGAGCGTCGCGATCCGGATCCGCTCGAGTCTGAGTACGTTCACGCACGCGCGCACACCCACACGTGAGTTCTGCTGCTACAAGCATCATTCGCCGACGTGATCGACAGATCGACTATATCACGTGAGCCTTCCTTGACGAATTCGAACACACGTTTCGTTGTGAGATAAAACGCTCCTTCGTTCGGAACGTTTCCTAAAATCGCGTACAATAATTATATGTATGTTTCACAGTGAGAGGAAATAATCTCACGCGAAATATCGTGAAAGCACGCAATGTAATATCGGTTGCTTAATCATCATCGAATGATAGGTAGGTCTCCGTAAGATCTCCGAAAATACGGAGCACTTTGACGAAGTGTATAATAGCCGTAACGATAATAATCCTAAGAGATACTAGCGATAGAATTAGATATATACGCGTTATCGCGATACGATAATGATCGCTTCGAAGCAGAAGTTCCCAAACGGCGCGTCGCGCATCCTGATAAAACGCGATTTATATCCAGAAGAATATAGAAGCAAGATTCAAATGCAGTAAAATCTTGAAAAATAATTTTTAAAAAATTAAACTAATTTTTTATATTATCGATTGTTATAACTATTAAAATAAATGTTTAACTATTTTTTGATCGGTGTAAGGTGATAATATTTTGAAAACATAAAGTTCTTAAATTTTCTTCTGAATTATTTTAACTTTTTTGTTTTCGTAAATATAACAAGAATGAATAAGCGTGGGAAATTATTTGAAAATTGACTTATATTTTCTACATATATGACTAATAATGGTTGGACATTTTGTATCCACGCTTTCGTCAATATTGTTACGAGGATGAGATAGAAAGAAAATATCAGATTCGAAGAATTGTTAGATTCAGAATGTTTGGGAACCTCTTGACTACAGGACCAACAATACCAACGACGGATGTCACCAGCTCTCCCTCAGGGTTTACACGACGCGGAGAGTCAAAGATCTGCGTCGACATTACGGCAGGATGGTGACGGTACGTTTCTGCCGCTACCGAAATTTTGTTTTGCAAAACAGAAAGCGTTTTTTATCTTGACGTTTGTAATTGCGCAGAATTGATCCGCTCGGAAACATTGGCATTATAAAAACATGCTGTCGGATCAGCGACCGGGATAGCGAGGTCCGCTTCGTTCGCATAGATTCCATTGTTCAGGTAATCAGGGTAGTCTCTTATAATCGTCTAACGTTTAATCCTTAATAGCCTGAATTCCCGGATTCTGATTAGCTCGTATCGAGCGGTCATTTGAAACTAACTTTGAGTTAGTAATCCATTATTAGCTACATTGAATGTACCTATGTAATTTAAATCGTGCTATTTTTAGAAAAGACAGTTAAAATACTATAAAAATAATTTATGAAAATATCTTTTGAATTGCTATGATGATTGTAGCTGAATCATAGTCATTGATTGAATGTTTATGCTACAAGCAAAACTTATTACGTTAATATATCTTTCGAAGTGCCCACAAATGACACTCGACATAATTTTTCATGTAATAAGTTAATCTGGATCACGTGCTATTACTCATTATTTAATGTTTTTTTTGTAATGTAACGTATTTTGTTTCTTGCTATAAAACTTGTATTTGGAAACTAAATTAATATCAATTAATAGGAATTGATATTAATGTTAGTTATACGAATCAAGCTTTGTATAATTTTATCGCGATCATATTGTATTGTAATACTATCATTTTAGGCTTTTAAGGGTTAAACGTGGTCGTTCAGAAGAAAGGTGATCGCTTCCTCGTTGCTCGAAATTTCTGATCGCTTGCAAAACGCCGTTCGCGACTTCAATGAAGGACGCGTGCTGCGATTTGCAAAATAAAGCGTCTTTATTTTTTTTTTTTTTTTTGCGATATTGCTGAATTATAATAGTGATATTAGAATGTAGTCGAACGAAATTCACGTAAAACCGCAAGGCGTCTTTATACCATTTTATAGTAACCGAAAAACTGGCCGCGAAAATCCAGTGAATCCACTTTTTCCGAGAAATTTAAACTGTTTCTTGGAACATTATCAAATATCATATTAACTTGTAACATGTCTGACTGTATTTCAAGTTTTCCTCAAGTCATTAAAGAGTGGACCCGCTCGCTTCTCGTGGCTAAATCTTCGAGTTTAATCGCGAAGATGGACCGGATATCTCCGTCGTCCTTTCTTGATCGCGTTCCGCAGTGGATCGTGATAAAATTTCTTCGGTGAGAGAGAGAGCTTTTTTTTATACACATTACATTTCAGACGTTATGCCAAGCAGATTTGTGAGAAAAGATACATATATATATACACATATATTGTATATTTATATATATCTATATATTATCTGTGATTTTTTTGGATTGTGTGTAAGCAAAGGGAGAAAAGTTATCGCGTTTGTCATTTCCGATCGCTTTTGTCCCTAATTTCTCATCCTTGTCTTTCGTTTCTTCTTTTTCTATACTTCTTCCGTGAGCTTTCTTTTCCGCCAAAACTTCAATATACCAACGCGTCGAGTCGATCTTTCTCGCTATCGGTCTTAGTTCTGAACAGTCTTATAAATAGTAGCGATGAGAGGAAAGATCAGGATGCAACAGGAATTGAAAATGTTGAATGAAAAAACAAGAAGTAAAATTGTCATCGATATAAAAAACAAGTACGAAAGAAAAATCACAATCGAACGCTAGTCATTAATCTGAAACAATATTTTTGTAATACTAATCAGACAGAGGACGTGTCTATTTATATTCTTTGTCGTTTTTTTATATGTTAATAGAATATTTATCTATTGTTGTTATTCTCTTATATTTTTTTCTTCTTTCGCAATTGTTTCTTTGTTGCGTCCTGACCTGAACCACTGAAATGAAATTAGAAAACGCACGGAGGCGTGCCTGAGAAATCTCACATTTACAGAGCGGTCGGTAAATGGCGAGAGTGTATCGGGAACGCTTCACGTTCAATGAAACTGGTGGTTCCTCAAGTTTCTCTCACGCCATCGTAAATGAAACACACAAATCGATAGATTCGATCTGAACAAGTAAATCGGATAAGTATGGAAATCAATAAGGATCAAGCTAATATGATTCATCTTTCAATCTATTCACTATATCTATAAGTAGGAATCGTTTAGATTAAAAGTGGCATAGTCGGGTTTGGAAAAATCTTGTCAAAATATTTTATTGAACATGTGCGAATAAAAGATCAATTTTTATCATGCGTTTAATATTACATGCGGTTGTTCGGTTATTCATTATTCACGTCGAAAAATCGGACAACCATATTCGGCGCTAGGTGCATTGTTAAAAAAGAATATGAATGCAAAGTATTCTGTGTGTCGAAATGCGATTTGCACCAATTTTAGATTATGTGAGGTGTATATGTAATGCCCGTGTCACACTACGCATTAGAGACTGAGGATTGCGAATTGAGGATTAGAATTCAGCCAATTAGAATGGAACGGATTAAAAGTAAAACTACCTGATTGGTCGAATTCTAATTCGTAATTCGCAATCCTCAATCTCCAATGTGTAGTGTAACACGGGCATCAGAGTATATGAACGTGATGTTTCTCATCTCTACGCTTTTATTTCTTCCGCGGCTATGTAATCTCCTATCGCGCGATAGGAGGCAAACGAGCGAGGAAGATCGGCGAGATCGGCTCTTTTCATTCTGAAGAAAAGCACAGAGCGGCGAGAGAAAAACGTCGCGCGTGAGAGAAACGTAGTCGGTGAACAAAAGGCTCTCGTTTGCTCATTTCGAACTTTTCGGATTACGTAGATTTAGGTAGTTTAAGATTTTTTATACAGACGAAGGAAGAGGTGATGGAGAGGAGCGAGAGAGGCATGTGGCCTGGCTCGCTACCACGTGATTGTCCAATTTGTACGTCCGTCGTCGTTCGCTTCGTTCTCCTCCGGTCTCTTGGATGTCCTCGCGTTTCTCGTCTTCGTGCCATTCTCCTTTTCGAAGCCTTGTTCGCTTTTTATTATTTTATATTACGTTTCGTATTTTAAGCTCTCCGAAAAGCAGAATGACGACGACGTTTACCTGGTGTATTTCGAGGAACGGATTCACGATCATATTAAATTTTTTAGGGTTTGAATGTTCGTCAATTGCCGACAATTAATTTTTGCCGTGAAGCAAATGCTATGCTTCACCCATCGAGCCTTTCGCACGATAGACAGCAGTCAGACAAAATTTATCGAGTTCTATTAGAACGAGTTAAGGCAATTCTTCGTGATTTTTCTCGTGGGAATTAATCTTCCGGCGTAAGAGACAGTACGGAGGAAACGAATCGATGACGTCGGACAGCTCTTTTATAGTGTTAAAGACAGTTATACAAATATTATGACCGATGAGTACGACTCGCGATAGAATCTCTTGGTGAGGCAATCAATATTATATTTGTTAGATTAATAATAAATTATAATTAACGATACTACTATTGTTAAATAACAACAAGATGTAATATATATTGTGCATAGTTTTACATTTTTTTATGAAAAATGAAAGACAAAAATTCTTCGATTTTCTAAATTTTACGCAGATCAAAACTACGTAAAATTTGGTATTTTATATCCGTACGCGAATGTAATGTCTTTACGGAAATAAGTGTTTTACAAATCAGAAAGTCTTATATAATTATCAAATAAAATAATGATTAGAAAAAAATATAATTAGAATTAGAATATGAAGAATGTTTATAATGATGGTAAGATAATTTTTTATCTTTTTGTTGCTTTAAGAGCTTTAATTTGAATTTGAATATCTCTATTTAACGTGTGTTTTGTTACTCTTTTTTTAATTTATAATAATATTTAGCGAGTTTTAAGCAAATTCCGCTATGCGGGAAAAAATGCAAATTGATGAAAAAGAAAATGTATCATTCAATTTATCTCGAAATCTATCACGAGTCGCACTCATTGCTTTCCCAGTGGGAAAGAATTATATTTATACAGGTGCGCGCGCGCGCTCAGCATACATACATACATACATACAAACATACATGCATACATACATCATACACGACACATTCACGGAATAGATTCACATGTGAGATAAATGAACGAAGCTATATAAATAAATATATATATATATATATACATATATATATAAATATTATATAGATGCGATACGTTGTGCGTCGAGAAATATATATGGTGCAGATATGAGAGAAGAGAGAAAAGAGAGGAAAACGAAAAAAATATATATATATTCGAGTATACATCTATATATATTTTTACTTACTTTCAAAGCAAACCTTTAATTGATTATTTATAATATATACATGCGTACATATATATACATACATATATATTATGTATACACATACATACATTATATAAACATGATGGAACGTCGTCGTGTTGTATTAATCGCGTGTCTCTGCGAGTCTCGTCGATCTCGGCGAGTCATTTCGACGAGGCTCTCGGACGAGCGCGTCGAACAGGCACACACCCGTGCGATTCCGCGATCTTGATGAATCCCACGGGATTCGAAATGTCGATCGAATGTGTCGAGTCGAGTC